GTTTTTTGCCCACAAGTTCTCCCTAGACAGAGAGAACAACCCAACTAAACCAAGAGCTGCTGGGTTTCAACTGCCCTGGACGTTGCAGGTTGTTGTTCTGGGTAGAACAGCCCTAAAACCAGCCTGGTTTCTTCCCACTGAATCCACTGAGCTAGGAAAATCATGTCCTTGTCCAGGAAACCAAGATTTTCCAGAGCTGTGAGTGTGTGCCCAGAAGTACAAACCCACAAGGAGCACAGTTCTCCGTCACGTGAGCTGCGGTGTCAGTGTGGAATCTGGCAGCGGAAAACCAGGGATGTGAGTGGGAAGAACACCTGCAATCCCCTGGGCAGGCCAGCTTTGCTTTAGCCAAAAATATCTGCAGGAGGCTGGAGCACTCCTGAAATCCCCCAGCAGGGCCGAGGACGCTCTGCCAGGATCTGGGGTGGGAAGGCAGCAGGATGAGCCAGCTCTGAGCCAGCAGCAGCTGCACAGCCCGGCTGGCAGGAGTTGGGAGGGGGCTGGAACATTCCTGGCCCATCCCACCTCTTCAGTATTCACGGGACTGCTGAATATTTTACCAGGCTTGAAATATTGATGGTCGGAGTTGACCTTTGTTGTCGCTGATCCATCACGGGTGGCTGGGTTGGGATCATTGCAGGGTGACGTTCACTGAGCCATGAGAAAGGCACAAACACCCCCAAAGCCACTCCCCAAACCCCAGAGGGACAGCTCCAAACACATCCAGCAGGTTGGTGTCCCCCCCCTCCGTTCCCTGAGCGTGTTGTGGGAGCTCATTCCAGGCCTTGGGAAGGGGGGTCACCCCATGGAGTGCTCAGAGCTATCCCTCTGCCCAAGAACTTCATTTTAAGTTTATTGTTTAAGTATTTTTGGTTTATTTTAATTACAAGTATTTTAAATTACAAGTATTTTAAATGCCAAGGATTTCAGCAGGTGCTGGAGCAGCACATCCCGAGGGTGGGGAGGCCCTGGCACAGGTTGCCCACAGAAGCTGTGGCTGCCCCTGGATTCCTGGAAGTGTCCCAGGCCAGGTTGGATAGGGCTTAGAATCATAGAATCAGCCAGGTTGGAAAAGACCTCCGAGATCATCAAGTCCAACCCTTGATCCAACCCCGCTGTGGTTCCCAGCCCGTGGCACTGATGCCACATCCAGTCTGTCCTTAAACACCTCCAGGGATGGAGAATCCACCCCCTCCCTGGGCAGCCCATTCCAATGGCTGATCAGCCTCTCTGGAAAGAATTTCTTCCCAATATCCAACCTAAACCTCCCCTGGCACAGCTTAAGACCCTCTTGTGGAAGGTTTGTCAAACTCTTGTTGTTCTGGTCAGCACTCACAGAGAAATCATCATAACCTGAAACCTGGGATGGAGTCTGGTGAGTCCAGCTGGGCTCAGAACCTTTCAGATCTCAAAATCCCTGTTCCCTTGAGGATGGCAGTTTGTGTGGATCCATGGTGAGGCCTCAGCTCCTGTGCTATGGTTTGGAGATGGGTTATTTCTCCTGGCTTTGCTGTTTCCTCTCCTGTCCCAGGGCTCAGCACCAGGGGGAAGGCACAGCATCAGACGGTGCAGGATCAGCTGCAGTCCTTGGTCAGAGCTTCCTGGCAGCTTCTGCTGGATTCCTGCAGGCAGCAGGAACTTCCCCCTGACAGCTTGGAATGGCAATGGCCAGCCCAGCCCAGCTCAGCTCAGCCCAGAGCAGCTCAGTCCAGCCCAGAGGAGCTCAATCCAGCCCAGAGGAGCTCAGGTCAGCTCAGCCCAGCCCAGCCCAGCTCAGAGGAGCTCAGTCCAGCCCAGTCCAGAGGAGCTCAGCTCAGCCCAGCCCAGCCCAGAGGAGCTCAGCTCAGCCCAGCCCAGTCCAGTCCAGTCCAGCCCAGAGGAGCTCAGCCCAGCCCAGCCCAGAGGAGCTCAGTCCAGCCCAGCCCAGCCCAGCCCAGCCCATCCCAGCTCTGCCTTTCCCAAGCTGCTCTCAGCTCTGCCCATCTGCCACTCCCTGGCACGGAAGCACAGCCAGGCAGAGCCTTGGGGAGCTGCCACCCAGCCCCACTTCACACTCACAGCCACCCCGCCAGTCCTGAGCTCCCACTCAGCCCAGAGCAGCTGCAATTCCTAAAAAACCCCAATAATGTGTCAGAAGATGCCACTTTAGGCAGAGCTGAGCACAGGTGGCCAGGCCATGCCCCAGCCAGGGCTCCCAGCTGGACACTCCTCAGCTCCTCTGCCCCAAATCCCAGAGGGGAAACTGCTCCCCCTGAGCTGCCTTTGAGCTCATTTACATCGAGTGACAACAACTCCTCTTCTTTTTTCCCCTCTGATAATTTTTCCCCTTTTCCAGCCCATTTCTTCTTCTTCTCCCGCTGTTTTCTCCTTCCCTTCCCCCCCTCCCATCCTTTTCTCCCAAAGAAATGAACTGGAGATGAGAAAGGATCTGTTTTCTGTTTGCTCTGTGACTGTTATTGCTGCTCCCCGTGCCGGTGCTGTCGGAATTCTGGAGACAGGGAGCAGTAAATGGGATGTTTAATCTTGCTGTCAGGGCCATATATCATCCCCCAGGCTCCTTCTGGGGTAACAAAAGCTGCTCAAAAGTTGGCAAAACGAGCCAAGGAACGAATAAACCAACAGAAAACATCCAGTTTGTGCTTTTTTAATACTCCCAGAGACAAAGGAAGACACAGGAAGGAAGAACCACACACCGGTGATTCCTGGTTGGTGCTGATTCCTGGGAGAGTTTTGGCCATGAGGAGTGTGAGTGTGGTTTTCCCACAAATGTGCTGCTCCATGAATCCCACCGGCTTGGGAAGCAGCAGCACTTTCCCCTCCTCCCATGAGTAATTTCCAGGGTGAGATGGACTTAATTTGTGTCTCCTCCAGGGCAGGCTGTGGCTCCTGCTGTTCCTTGGAAGCTCCTGGTGGGTTGTGAGGTGCTGCTGTCACTGGGATCGGGGAGTCATTAAGGGGATGGAGGGCTGGGACTGGGAAGCCAGGGCTGCATTTTGGGGGCAGGGCAGTTTGCTGAGACTGCTCACAGCCAGGCCAGCCTGGGAAGGGTGCCCAGGGTGCCCAGGGGCAGCAGGTCACACGGACACCACGGGGGATTTGTCTCTGTGCTTTCAACCTGAAAATAACCTGTCACACCGAGCTCCTCCGGCAGGAGCTGATCCGTGAGTTCCTCCTGCCTCCTGTTCCGAAACAACCAGCCTGCCCATTTTCAGGGATACTGAGGGTGATGCTGAACCCAGAGGTCTCCAGGGTGGAGTTACCCCAGCCATGGGGACCCCCTGGGTGTGGATCCAAACCCCACAGCTGCCTCCCCACCTCAGGGACCATCCTTGGAGACCTTGGCTTGGCCTTGTCTGGGGTGAAGTGTGAGGAGATGGACAAGAAGGTGCTGGGCTGGAAAGGATGGGCTGAAAGGCATTAGAGGGTGTCCAGAGAAGAGCAACGAGGCTGGGGAAGGAACTTGAGCACAAGTGCTGTGAGGAGAGGCTGAGGGAGCTGGGGGGGCTCAGCCTGGAGAGGAGGAGGCTCAGGGGAGACCTCCTGACTCTGCAACTCCCTGACAGGAGGGGGGAGCTGGGGGGGCTTGAGCTCTGCTCCCAGGCAGCATCAGTAAGACAAGAGAGCTCGGTCTTAAGCTGTGCCAGGGGAGGTTTAGGCTGGATTTAGGAAGAAATTCTTTCCAGAGAGGGATCAGCCATTGGAATGGGCTGCCCAGGGAGGGGGTGAATTCTCTGTCCTTGGAGGTGTTTAAGGACAGACTGGATGTGGCATCAGTGCCATGGGCTGGGAACCACGGCGGGGTTGGATCAAGGGTTGGACTTGGTGATCTCGGAGGTCCCTTCCAACCCAGCTGATTCTATGACTCTATGACGGGTCTGGAGGGGCCATGAGGAGCAGCTGAGGGCACTTGGTGTGTGCAGCTGGAGCAGAGCAGGCTGAGGGCAGAGCTCAGCGGGGGCTGCAGCTCCTCCCCAGGGGCAGCTCCGATCTCTGCTCTGGGGGAGCAGGGACAGCCCCCAGGGAACGGCTGGAGCTGTGTCAGGGCAGGCTCAGGTTGGATCTCAGGCAAAGGTTCTTCCCCCAGAGGCTGGTTGGGCACTGCCCAGGCTCCCCAGGGCAGTGGGCACAGCCCCAAGGCTGCCAGAGCTGCAGGAGGGTTTGGACAACGCTCTGAGGGACAGGGTGGGATTGTTGGGGTGTCTGTGCAGGGCCAGGGGTTGGACTGGATGATCCTTGGGGGTCCCTTTCAACTCAGGATATTCTCTGATTTCCCACTTTCCTGGTGCTTGACATATTCTGAACACAAAAATCCGACAAAATCAGGAGTGGAGGTGATGGATGTCATGGTGTGCTCGAGGTTGAATCATGGAATCATAGAATCAGCTGGGTTGGAAGGGACCTCCGAGATCATCAAGTCCAACCCTTGATCCAACCCCGCCGTGGTTCCCAGCCCATGGCACTGATGCCACATCCAGTCTGTCCTTAAACACCTCCAGGGATGGAGAATCCACCCCCTCCCTGGGCAGCCCATTCCAGTGGCTGAGCACCCTCTCTGGAAAGAATTTCTTCCTAAATCCAACTTAAACCTCCCCTGGCACAGCTGAAGACCCTCTTGTCCTACTGCTGGTTCCTGGGAGCAGAGCCTGACCCCCACCTGGCTCCAACCTCCTTCCTTGAAGGGCTGGGCACTGGCAGAGCTGCTTTGCTGGTAATATTCAGCTGGGCACCAGCACTTCTGTGTGACAGATGTCACCCAGGACAGACCTGCTGGCCCGAGGGGGTGGGAAATGCCCCTCTTGAGAACGATGACGTCATTTGGAGATTCCTGGATGGGAATTACTTTTAGGATTAACACTTCTGACCAGGTCCCTGTGCCCGGAGGAGGCTCCCTGTCCTTTTTCTGGGAGGGGGAACAGCCCCATCTCCAGAGGCACGTGCTCCGCGGGCCATTCCAGCCCCCGGGAGGATGAGGATGTTTGTTAATGGAGCTGAGGGAAAAGGCTGAACTCATCCGACTGCCAGAAGATTCTGGAGGTGCCCACCAGAATGATAATTGCGGCATTAAAGCATCCGGAGGGTGCTTAGCAGGGCTCTCCCGGCAGGCAGGACTGTGGGATGGGCGATAATGCGGGAGCAGCTCCGGTGGGAGGGGAGGAGGGGAGAGGGAATTCGGAGAGGGGAAATTCTCCGGCCGGGGGGAGGGGGAGGGAAAGGGAGGTTATTTCAAAGGTGAATGGAAATGCTTTTAAAGCGTGAACAAACGGGGTATCTGAGAGCCCGGATCATCACGGGAATGGCTGTGGGGATGAGGGAGGGGATGTGGGGATGAGGGAGGGGATGTGGGGATGAGGGAATGACTGTGGGGATGTGGGGATCAGAGAGGGGATGTGGGGATGAGGGAGGGGATGTGGGGATCAGGGAGGGGATGTGGGGATCAGGGAGGGGATGTGGATATCAGGGAATGGCTGTGGGGATGTGGGGATCAGAGAGAGGATGTGGGAATCAGGGAATGGCTCTGGGGATCAGGGAGAGGATGTGGGGATCAGAGAGGGGATGTGGGGGTCAGAGAATGGCTGTGGGGATGTGGGGATGAGGGAGGGGATGTGGGGATGAGGGAATGGCTGTGGGCATCAGGGAATGGCTGTGGGGATGTGGGGATCAGAGAGGGGATGTGGGGATGAGGGAGGGGATGTGGGGATGAGGGAATGGCTGTGGGCATCAGGGAATGGCTGTGGGGATGAAGGAATGGCTCTGAGGATCAGGGTTGTAACTCTGGGCATGGAACTGGGGAACATGGGGGGTGGGGGTAGGACAGAGCCTTCCAGGGAATTGCTTTCTCTCCCCTGCAGGACTTGAACAACCTCCTCCCACTGTGGTTTGGGCAGCCCATGTCCCCCTGCTGCTGATCTCCAGGGCCTGGCAGGAGCTCACAGGTGGGGTAAATCCTCCCTGTGGATCCACGTGGCAGCACCCAAAGTGTTGCTCCAAACATCCCCAATTCCCTATAAAAAAAAAAAATCCGTAATCCTCATCCCCAAAAGGTTGCAATTCCTCTTTTTCCCAGTTCTCCATCTCGGGATTGGAAGATTTTGGGGCGGGTTTGGGGTGTTTCGGGGCATTTTAGGGCAGATTTGGGATATGGGAGGGAAGGCCAGAGTGACTGCAGCAATTTAGGGTGGGTTTGGGGCATTTTAGGCTGGGTTTGGGGGGGGTTAGGACTGGCTTAGGGGCATTAAGAAAAGCTGAGCATGATTGTGGCATTTTAGGGTGAGTTTGGGGCCTTTTGGGGCAGCTTTGGGGCATGTCCAGGCAGGACACTCAACATACCAGGATGAAACCTTATCACTGCCATTCTTCTTTATGTGGCCACTTGATGAACAGCCAGATAAAACTGTAAGAGGTACAGCAAGGAAGGCAGGACATGGGGAAATGAGAGAGAAAACCTGTTTGGAGACATTTAAAAAGGATGTTCAGCTCAGCAGGAACTGAACCAGGAGTTCTGAGCTCGCCCTGCACAGTCCTGGGATGGCACAGGGCTGGCAAGGCCATCCAGAGAGCAGGGTGGGACTAAAAAAAAATAAAGTCAAGAAACCCATTAAAAATGCAGCTGTTCCTTCCTTTAAGGAGCCACTCTCCCAGTTCTGTGTCTCTCCAGTGTGGGATCTCCCACATTCTGGGTTCTTCTTACTCATTTACAGTCAAAACCCATTTAATTATTAGCCCCCTCTTTGCTTCAAAAGCAACAGCAACTGCAAAGTTGCAAACCCAAGGCCAAGGAAGGAGGAATGGCCGATTTTGCCACCTTTTTAACCCAAAGCTGGCTGTAAAATGACCCAACCAGCAGCCTGGGACTCCTGCTTTCCTTTCAGGCCTCATTGGAATTGCAGCAGGCTCATGGAAAGATCTCCTTCAATTCACACCTCTGAGATGTTGGGGGTGGCTCTGGCACCTTCAGAGGAGCTTCCTCCATCCCAAAATACTTCTCTGAAATCACCAGGATGATTCATTGGTTCCTTCAGAGAGAGGACCTGGGATAAACCCAGCTTTGCTGGGCAGCAGGGAGAGGAATCCTGCCCAGTGTTGCTGGGGGGTCCTGGTGTAGTTTAGATTATTCAGAAAATAAAAGGGAGAATAAATGACTCTGGATCACTTAAACAGCCTCAAAAAACCCAGAGAACCTGGGCTGGAAACACCCAACAACAACAAGGGTGTCCCAGAGCTGAGGAATAGGTGTCACACGAGGTCTGGCTCAAGACAACTGCAAAGAAAACAACTTTTCCTGGGTGTTTTTCCTTGCTCTGAAGAACAGCAGTCCAGGCATGTGTGAAAGCCAGCAGACAATCAGTCTGGATTAGGGAGACAACTGATTAAACCCAGCTCCAAGAACAATGGCTGCTGATGACGAGCGAGATTGGATTTAGGTCACGTTAAAACGCTGTGAATAAATCATCCCACTAAAGACCAATTACACCAGACCCCTTGATTGAGGGGTGGAAAGGGAAAAACATCTTCTGATGCCGTTTCTGGTGATTCCTGGGCTGCCCTTTAACCATTCCCTGCCCAGAACTGAGCAAACCCTTTCCCAACAAAAGGCTGTGAGCGACCTGCTCGCTGCCAGAGGCAGGAGAGAGTGGGAAAGGAGTGGGAAGGGTGGGGTGGGACAGACCAGGAAGGTTCAAACGTCCTTTTTCCAGCATAACCTGAAGCAGGTGAGCTTGTGGTTGTGTCTGGTGGAATAAGGACCAGACTCTCCCCTTGGGCAGGGAAGGTTCACTGCTCCCCGACCCTCACTCAGCCGAGCTCCCCTTTGGAAAACTCACTCTTAAAACCCAAATTGTAGGTGCAGAACCTGCACCTGGCTGGAGTCTTCCCCAAGATCTTTCTCAGCTCGGGACTCCCCTTTTCCAGATGTTCCTGTCCTTCCCCAGGCAGCTTTTCTCTCATCCCTCCTCTGCCTCATCTCCTCCCTCTTACAGACTCTGTTCCTCCATTTCCAACAACTGTCTTGACTTGTATTTAAATCTCAGGAGGTAAAAACTGGCCCCCATTCAACTCAAATATTAAACCACCACTTTCTTTTTCTCTTTTTCTTTAGCAAAGCCAGGATTTCATCTTCAATCACCCTGTAAAATAAAGGATAAGTCCCAGGATCTTTAGGCTGGGCAGTCCACCCTCAGCCTGGCTTCTCTGTGCTGTTCCCCCCAGCCAACAATTTCTTTTCCATCTCATACATAAAGTGCCTTTTTTTTTCTTTGCCTTTCTCTTTTCAGTTATTGGTGCCTCGATCTGTGTTCACTGAGCTCTTAAATTATGATTTTAGAAAATAAGCTCCCCATTGTGTCTCTTGAAGATACAAAGCCCAGGAACAAAAGGAGATTCCCCCTCTTAACGGTTGGTTGAGTTGGATACAAAGCTCAGCCTGACAAAGCCCAAGGGGTTTGCAGAGGTTTCTACCTGCTCAGAGCAAACTTTTTAACAATTATCCTCGTCCTGCAGCCTCCAACCAAGCCTGGCCACAGCCCCAGCACCCCAAAAACTCTGATTAGCTGGTGTAGCTTTGAGGGCAGCCCTGAAATTCAGGGTTAAATAGGGCAGAAACTCTTCTACATCCCCACACGTCCACACACACAAACCCAGAACCTGCTCAGGGCAGCAGGTCTCCTTTTGGAGCCCTTGAATTACAGAACTGTGGAATTGTCTGGGTTGGAAAAGCCCTCTGAGGTCATCAAGTCCAACCATTAACCCAGCACTGCCAAGGCCAAGAGCCAAGAGCCAAATCTGCATCTGTGGGCAATTAATATTCCTCTTGATAAGGGAGGGAGGGGAGGAAGGGAGGAGGGAAGGAAGAAAGAAGGAAAAAAAAGAAAGGAAAGAAGGGAAGAAAGGAAGAAAGAAAAAAGGGAAGGAAGGGAAGGGAGGAAGGAAGGAAGAAAGGAGGGAAAAAGGAAGAAAGAAGGGAAGGAAGGAAGGAGGGAGGGAAGGAAGGAAGGAAGGAGGGAAAAAGGAAGAAAGAAGGGAAGGAAGGAAGGAGGGAGGGAAGGAAGGAAGGAAGGAAGGAAGCAAGGAAGGAAGGAAGCAAGGAAGGAAGGTTTACCCGAGCACTGCCAAGGCCACCACTAATCCATGTCCCCAAGTGCCACATCTACACATCTCTTAAATCCCTCCAGGGATGGGGACTCCACCCCTGCCCTGGGCAGCTGGGCCAGGGCTGGACAACCCTTTCCAGAAAGAAACTTCCCCCATATCCAACCTGAGCCTCCCCTGGCACAGCCTGAGGCCGTTCCCTCTCCTCCTGTCCCTTGTTCCCTGGGAGCAGAGCCCGACCCCCCCCAGCTCCCCCCTCCTGTCAGGGGGTTGCAGAGCCAGAAGGTCCCCCCTGAGCCTCCTTTTCTCCAGGCTGAGCCCCCCCAGCTCCCTCAGCTGCTCCTGCTGCTCCAGCCTCTTGTCCCTGCATCCTTGAGCTCCACACCAATGTCCCTGGGTCTCTGTTTCCCTGGAAGTCCCAGCTCACGTGTCCTCCCCGGGGCAGGTGCTGGTGACATCTCTGCCTGCAGGGAGCTGTGGTTCCTTTAATGATCCCCCAAAAGCTGCTGCAGGAAGGTTCCTACTCTGTAATAAACATGCCTGGCCTGCCCCCAAGGTGAAGGAGAAAGGATTAGTTACTAATCTTTCCTGATAAAGAAGAGCGAGTTAACAAGTGTATTGATTTGGGTAAATAAAGCTCTTTATGTCGCTGCTTTGTTTGTCTAAACACAAACATATATTTAGGTAAAGTTCTCTTCCCCAAACCCGTGTGCTGGGGCTCAGCAGCATCCCTGGAGCACTCTGGGGCCAAAAACTTGGAAGCTCTGGAATTTGGATGCCTCGGAAGCAGAGAAATATCGCTGGAATATTGCTAAATACCTGTGAAACACTTCTTGCTTCTTATTTCCAGCACAAAATACGAGAAGCTGAGCGGGGCTTGGAGGCAGCTTGTTCCAACCTGCCTCACCACGGGGGCTCAGAATCAGTGGCAGAATCCATTTTGCTCTCTCTTGCAGCACTCTCTTCCATTTAATCCACGAGGGCACGGTGGGTTTGGTGCCAAATCAGTGCTGGCACAGGATTTGGGCATCACCTGTGCCTGGGAAATCACCTCCCCAGGTCCCTGCCCGCCCCACGTTTGGCAGCACTCACAATGCTGAGGTTACACAGAGTTTAGTTCCAGCTTTGCCACCAGTGGGAATTTGGGTGCCAGCCTGACATAACGGCAAAAATGACTTTCCTTCCTGCAAGGCTGTGAATTCCGTGGATCTCTGGGTATGTCCTTCCAGCTGGTGCAAGAATAAACATGAGCAACCACTCGCATGTTCCTGTATTTGTATAAATTCACCAGGGGCAGGAGTTGGGAAACGGCAGCAAAACCATGGAATGGCTGAAAAATAGGATTGAAAAATGTATTATCCAGTGCCCAGTGCACTCTCTCCCACCCCTCCTCACCTAAAAACCTCTGCTGCTCCAAAAAAGAACCACTTTCAGAGCTTGGCCAAATTTACACCCCGCCACAAACACATCCTTGATTAAGGATATTCTTTATTATCCAGTGATCACCGATTTCTGTTTCATAAACTGGTGGCCAGATAAGGTAAAATAAAGAGAGGATAAAGATAAGCAAAAAGAAAATCAATAAAGAGATTAAGACATTTCTGCGAGTCACTGAAATGAGACAGCTACAAAGGAAAAGAGCAGGATTTGTCTTTATAACACCAGCAAAAGGGGAGATGGTTTCCTGAAGTGTTTCTTTAAACAGTGAACTCATTGGAGGAGTCCAGACATTAAAGCCTCTCCCCCAGCAGACGCCTCAGAAGACCAGCAGGGCTTCCAGCAAAACCAGACTCAACTTTCGTGGAGCCCAAACTAACACAAATATTTAAAAACCGTTCAGGGTCTCTTTGTGCGTCGCAAAGAAATCACAGCCCGGCTGAATCCGCTTGCTAAAAGGCATCCTTTGAAGGTCACCTTAAAAAAACCCATCCCTGGAGAATGCAAAGCAAGACCCAAATGCCTCAAAAGGAGCTTTCCTGCCCATCAGTTGAGCCCTTGCTTTTGCTGGCAGCTGCAGAATGGGGCCTATTCATGAAGTTCAAACTCCGTGGGCTCCTCGCTGCTCCTGCTGCAGCCTGTTCCAAGAGCTCACTCCTCCAGAGCTTCCAGACCTTCTCATTTCCAGGCTGGGTTAATTGATGGCTCTTCTGGAAGTCTTTGGGCAGCGCTGTCCCTTGGTGCTGTGCCAGCAGAGCTCCAGGAGGGCCAGAGCATCACTCCCGAGCTTCCATGGACCAGCAGAACGGGACCTGGGGTGGGCTTGTGGCACAAGGGCCCTCCATGGCCCCTCTGCAGCTGATGAGGTGAAAAAAAGGCTTTTCCAGAGGGGGACTTGGAGCAGCTACTTGGCTTCTTGCCCTGAACCACCAACTACAGGAATCCTTCTCTTTTCATGCTCAGGGTAGATTTTAGAAATTAATAAAATATCCTGAGCTGGGAGGGACCCACAAG